CGGCAAGAAGTAGACGATAGTAAATCAGACCATCGCTGAAAAGAATGGAAAACTAGCAACCTCTCAGGGCAGGTGGCCAGAAAGTTGGGTAAAAAACTTTAAAGCACAGTTCAACTGGACCATAGCAACGCTTCAGTTGCGCAGCACCCAGCCTGAACCCGAATATATCATAGATATTGGTTCTCCAACTCTCGTTGAAGTTAATAAGACTGCTTTGACCTTGAAACGACGGCAAGCAGCAGGACCTAACGATCTGCCACTGGAAAGTTTTCAGAATGAAAGTAGGAAATTGCTGATTAGAGTAACGGAAATAGTGGGTGTTGTGTGAGAATTAGAGGTAGTCCCAGCAGACTAGTCTAACTCACTGGTCTTTCTGATCCATAAGAAAGGAGAGTCTTTTGTGAGAAGCATAAGGGAATCAGTTTAAACAGTATCATGTCCAAACTTCTCGGGTTCATGGTTTTCTGACACCTGATTGGGGCTCGAGAACAGCAAACTCCCGAATGCCAGTCAGCTTTCGAACCTGAACGACGGTGCATAGATCAAGTCTTTATCTTTCTTCAGGTCTTAGAACACAGGCATACTTACCGGTGACCGGCACTTGCCATATTTTTCAACCTGAAGGTGACATTGAACTCTGTCGATCGTGAGGTTTTGTGGCGGTGTCTGACTGTGAAGGAGATACCGAGCAAGTACATAACCTGTAATCATAGCTGTTTACTCGGACTCGCGTAGCTATGTGTGGAAAGTTATCACCTGAATTTATGACAACTAGTGGTATCCGTCAAGAATATTTACTCACTATTTCTGTTCAAACTCGTTATAGATGTGATAGTGGACATAACCTTAGATATGTTTGACTTCACATGGATTGGTCTTCTCCCTGAAAAGCATTTGGTTGACTTGTAGTAAACAGATGACATCGCCTTATTGGTCGGAGATGTTGATATAGTTCAGGGTCTTCTGAACGCATTGAACAAAAAGCTGGGTATGTTTGGCCTACGCTATGCGTCTATCAAATGTAAGATGTTTCTTCAGGACAAGTCTACAACTACTCCCAGTTTAAAGATAGAGAGTGTAGATGGTGAAATACTTTGATCACTTTACTAAATTGAGGAGTTCTATCAACCTAAACAAGCTGACGAAATCTCGGCTTGGATACATAAGACCCATTTGACATTTGCTAACTTGAGTTATCTCTGGCGCTGGGTTGATATCCAACTACCCAATAAAGGACGAGTATACTACGCTGAAGTTTTCTTGACCCCATTATATGGCTGTTAGGCGTAGACGCTGATAGTAAAATATATGAAGCGACTACAGGTCTTAACCACAAACGTCTTCAAAGCATTGCCCGTGCATGGTTGAATCATCGTGTGAGCAGTGTTGAGGTCAGACGAAAGGTACTAGGCAAAACGGGCACATCGATTGGTGAGGTTGTGGAGCTTCAGTGACTGAAGTGGTTTGGACATGCGTTGCGCATGCCGAGCCACCGCCTACCTCGACGTGCAATGCCAGGAGAGGTTGGAAAATGGTGTGGGGTGGCCAGACCAAAATGTGGCATCAGTTCATGAAGCTTCTGATTGTTGGTCTGAGACATGTAGGAAAATGGAGACTTCCCGATTAGGGTTGGTCCGCGGGAAAACCGAAACTGGTGGCTCGAGACACTACGTAACGTGGTGTAGAATCAATCTCAGTGGTGCAAATGCAGCCGCATGTTATGGAAACCATAAGTGGCATGCAAGATTTCATCATCGTTTCATTTTTTGTACTGCTTTTACGAATTCCTACTACTTTCTTACTTTCCTATTTTTCCCTTGAGTTCTTTCTATGTTGTTCTGTTGATATGAAGTGTTATGCACTAGTACTGAGCCCCATGTTAATTCTGATCGATGAGGGTTACTTGTTTAGTTTATTTGAAATAAAATGAAGCTATGTCTTATAAGGGTTATCGGTTGATAAGCTCTAGTTAATTAATTGAAGCAATTTATTTTCAAGCTCAGACACAATACGGTTTAGAAAACTAAGGAGTATCATCAACCTCTAAGTATCAAATGTTTCATAGTCTAGTACATGGATCTGTACTGTGTTGCTGAGCTGGAATTTTCTGTGTCACTGATGTATTATTTTAATAGGTCACGGGTTCTAACACAACACCTACCGAGGTTCGGACAACCAGGTCGTACCATTAGCCCTCACACTATGTGTGGCTCATTACCTACTGTACGAATGTGCAAAACGTTGCTAAGTGAATTTCGAATTTCGGTGTAGCTTGTTCGTCTTAAATGAGCAAAAATCATCATTTGATTTGCGGAAGACACTACACAACTCACCTAGACCTTTATGACTAGTTGACTCTGCTAGTCATTGAACTTCTACTTTTAATTAAGTGTATTGTGGTTCATGTTTCCGTGATAAAACTCCAAAGTAGCTAGTAGTAGTGTTTTAAGTACCCAGTGTATTGGACATTAAAGTATTGACAAAAGGTTGCATGTAATAAAGGCTGATAAGCACAGCATTCTATGTGTTGCTACTTGAAAAATACCAACCTGAGATGTATCTGTTTCTGTCTTGTCAATTGAGCTACTGAAGATTAATTGTGCGGAAGCGCCTGGGATTTAAATCCCTAACTAGTACGTAATTCCCATGAAATTTCTGGTATGTTTAGGTCTAATGCCGCTTCCTTACGATATCGGTACCATGAGTTGTCTTATAAGAGTGCTGTTTGTGAATCTATATATAAGTTGTTGCATACTGTAAATCGAGGAAAATGAATCACTTTCAGCCATCCATCTCTCTGTACTTCTTCAAGATAGGCGCTTTGAATCCTTTATCAGTGGCTGCAGGAACCGCACATAAAATTAGGAAGAAAATTTAAAAGAATAGATCTAACCGTCCTTAATAGGATGTATCAATTACATAAAATTAAAAACACCATGAACTTTGTGTGCTTTAATAACACACATTTTCAAGAAAGCCAAGCAGTCTACGCATATTGTTCAGAAAGCATATGCAATGTGTTCGAAGACTTGCCAAGTCAGACGATCCGCAGTATGACCATACCTAAGTAATTACATTATGTCCTGCAACTGAGCAGCAGCCAAGTAGCAAATAGAACTTGCATTCAGTAACCTTTCACATTTCCATATCATTAACAGTTGTTTTGCTTACACTGAAACATAATTAGGTTGTGAACCAGCGTGAGTTTATTTTTTCGACCTAAAACAAAAGTTAGGTACGAAATGGATACCAAGAAATGTCCTACTGAATAGGAATGTTATTAGAAAAGCATTTCCAGAGATACATTCAAGAAAGCGTTCCCTACTTTTCGATAATGTATGAAACAAGAAAGCTGTAACAATCACCACTGGTTTCGATTCTGAGCCATTTTTGCAATCAGCTGGAGTTACTGAGTTACATGATCTCTCAAACCCCATCCAGGGTGTCATGAAGCACCAGCAGATGCTAACCCAATATAAGTATCCTTATTCACATGGCTTCATATCGTACTCTGACCGCCTCTCCATTTCTTTCAACTAGTTCCAGAGCAGAAAAACAATGAAAGGTTGATGCACGTTCGTATACCATTCGTAACACATGTCCAAGCGAGTATAACTGGTGTTTCAGCATTACTTCACTCAATAAATGACGATTTCTTTCACACTTAAGCCTATACTTCCTTAATTTAGAATTACTTGCATGGTGTTTTCACTTGCTTCTAGTAATGCCACATAGGCAAAAGTGATCAAACACGTAGAGTCCTTGGGTATCCTTAGCCCAACGAGGTCAGTTTTCATAGGCGTTTTAAAATCGACCTTATGCAGCAACACCAACTTCATAACAGCACCAAAAGCAAGCCAGATTAATATATACCACTTTGACTCCTAATATATGATTGAAAATCTCATCAGTCACATGTTGGTAGAACCTGACTATATTCAAATACCTTGAAATTACCTCGTCTTTTGGGGACGGGATTTTCAGATGCTGGAAAGCAAATTCGCAAAACCTGTGCGAACTCTTAGTTAGAACTCATCAGAAGACTCACATGTTTCTCATTGCAACTCAGATTATGTTATCGTTATTTGGCCTACAAAAGTGGATGATGTTGCAATAAAATGACATAGACTTCATGTAGTTATCAGAATTTTAGTCTAAGAAAAATGAGAAACGGAAATCTCCAGAGGTTGGCTTATACTGTTACTGATACACAGTATGAAGTTTCGTTAGAAAGAAAAATGCTACAAATCAACTCGTGGTTAAGAGTTCAATCTATCTGGTTAACAAGTAACCTTTAGTTGCCTTGGGTGCAATGCACATAATATATCATCGGCACAAAAAAAATTACAACCAAACATTTTTGTTATAGGCGACCGATTTTGGCTATTTTGTATGTAAGTTGGGATTATGTTTCACGAATTCCATCTTATATATTAGTTCACTTCAAATGCTTCTTATCAATAGGTCGTGACTATTAATGGACAGTCATTACTTAAGCATCAATTCACTCTATAAGTACGCGAATCATCTGTGTTCATTTTTCTGCTATGAAAATCTTGTCTAAGTCCATAATAAACTTTTCATCAGCATCGATTGAAAGTTAGATACACCATATCTATTAGTGTATTTGTTCCACCGTTTAAGTATTGGTATGTTTTGCGTCCTGCATCTTCAGAAATCATCGGGTCAGAGATATCTTCTAGACAACAACCATTCACTTACTGGGATAGACGTAGATTGTGTCGTGTAATTCTACATTCAATCATCTCATCTGTGGTAATACATTTGTTTTAATTTGCCTTAGGACTCGAAACCATTCTTTATTTTTACATATATCACTTAATTTTTGATACGTTTTAACAACATTTGTGGATATACCCATTCCCCTTGGCTTCTACACACCTTCATTTCTTTTATTCTTCCTTTCTCAGTAATAAATTCGATAAACTTATCCAGAATACTTATATTGGCTTTCCTTTAGGACTTATCGGGTAGCCAAAATGAATTTATTACAGTTGGTCCAACAGGTGGATAAACTTTCACCAAGAATTCAAGCCTTATTAAAAGAAAGTAACCAGTTTAAATCTAATGATAATCAAACTACTGGAGCCATATTTTCACGCGATACACTAAAGACAAGATTAACAGACTTGGAATTTCGAGTAACTCAAGATAAAGAAACAGAAAAGTATTTCGCTGACAAAGCTAACTTCTATTGTTTTATAGACCCTTCTCAGGAAAGTATTTGGATGAAAAATCCTCTGGAATATATAAATGTATAGTCTGTGGCTCTGAATTGTTTAGTAGTGAAGCAAAATTTTTTTGTAGTTGTGGTTGGCCCGCATTTAACAACCCTATAGGATGCAATTGTTTAGTTTCATCTATTGATTTGTCTTCAGGTAAGTGTACAGATAAATATATCATGTTTAATCGTCAAATGGTCTATTTGTATCATGAGTGTTAATACGACTTATTAGAAATCGGTACGTTGCTATCTTTAAAGTGAAATACTCAGGTATAAATTAGACAATTCTACTATTAATAGTTCTTCAAAGCAAATGAAGGCTGACCACTGTGAGATTTTTTAACCGATTTGTTTAGAAATTTCCTTAAATGTCTGTTCAGTAAGTGATCTTATGCTTTGAACATGCCTTTTACAACATATGCATGCAATCCTTTTGGGAATATGAGTCTGATCATGTCGACTGACTCCGCAGTAGTGAGTAATAACGTGATCCAGTATTTAAGTGCATATTTATGCCTTATTGTTGAGTGGTTTTATGCGTTGTTCAAGTGTATGCAGTGTTATTTATCCTAATATTTATTCTTAGTTGTTATTATCTTCTGTTTTAAAGAAAATAAGAGATAATTCAGCAAGGAAACTATTCTTTTTTGATGATATCATTTTCTAAAGCTGTACACTCGTATATATACCACAAACATGTATAGCAGTCTATTATTAAAAATAGAGTATAACTGCATCATTAAGCCAGCTAGTACTAAAAACTGAAATCAAGAATGGAGAGTAGTTGCTTAATTATCTTTTAGGCAATAGAAATAATGAGAAGGGTAAGGAGTTCGACGAGGTGGAAATTATTGGTAAATGTGAAATGTGAAGGTTGAGTGTCTTCTTGATATATGCCAAGAAGGCGAAGAACGAAACAGGTGTCACAATGAAGGTGGCAATAGTAAACTAACTAATGAAATCAAAAAGAGTTGTTAAAGTGTTAAGACCATAATAAGATAAGAGATTGGACATACTTCTTCAGCACACAAAGTTCAGGCATGAATTGGTAAATTGCTAGTGCTTTTGCTATGCACAACTATCAAAAGCATACTCCTTTTGAACTGTTCGCTATCACGCTATAATTGACACTGAAAGAGGACTCTAGTGGAGCTATATATACAGAGTTGACCGAACGTTTAAGGTTTGAACTGTTAATTGATTTACATTCTCCCCTTGACAACTATACAGGATGACGGTTAGAGATACGTTTGGAAAGTGTGCGCTTTGTGCATCCTATATAAAACTAGCTCCACAGGAGTAGGTAAATTTGTAGACACAGTTCAATTCTTGAACAGCTGGTCAACTCTGAACATATATCTCCACCGGAGCCCTTCTTCAGTGTCAATCACAGAGAAGCGAACAGTTCGAACGGAGTACGCTTTTGATAGTTGTGCTCAGAAGAAAGACAGATAATTCACTAACTGAAGCCTGACCTCTCTGTGCAGAAGAAGTATGTTTCATTTGGTATCTTACCATAGTCTTAATAATTTTACAATCTTTCGATTTCATTATAATGAGTTAGTTTACGATTGTTACCTTTATTATGACCCTTGTACAAGAAACGTTTCTTTCCAGTGAAACAAAAATGCAGTGAACCGCGACAATGATGATAGTAGTGCTGAAATAATCCGATCGCTGCATAAAAAGTCCCTGAACTGCAGAAATAATGCGGGTAGTACAGAAAGCTTCCGGGTAATATGTAAATCGTGCGTGCAGTGCTGTAATTTCTTCACCTTCTTTATATCTATCAGGCGGATACTCAATCTTCGCATTTCGCATCTACTAACAATTTTCACCTTGTCAAACTCTTTACATTTCTCATTATTTCTATTGTGTAAGAGATTATGACTCAACAACTTTCCATTGTTTACTTCAGTCTCTAGCCATAGCCGGTTTAATGATGAAGTTATGCATTGTTGTTTAGTGATAGACTGTTATACGTTTGTGATATATATAAACGTGATTGTACAGCTTTCGGAAGTGATGTCATTAAAAACAAAAATTTTCTTCGCTGAATTATCTCCTGTTTTGCATTCTATTGTGAAAGAGGTGAAAGAGGCTACTTCCCTTAAGTTTCTCCGTTGATGATGATTGGAGTTTGTTGGTGCAGTATCTTCATCACTTCTGTCTTCTCTATATTCACCTGAAGTCCCGTCTTCGCTGCCTCTTCTGTCAACTTGTTAGTTTTCGCCTGTAGGTCTTCAAGTTTATGTGACATCAGGCACAAGTCATCGACGAAATCCAGATCTTCTAGGTTCTTTTCCGCAGTCCAGCTAGCGTATCCCCCTCTTCTCGCTGCCCACTGTTTGCTGCATGATCCAGTCCACCACAATAAGGAATATCATGGGGGATAGTAGGCAACCTTGTTTCACTCCTGTCTTCACTTCAGTGGCATCACTGAGCTTCCCACTGTGAATTACTTTGCATGTAGCGTCTTCATATAGTTATTGAATGAGGCGGATAAAGGTTTGCGGTACTCCGTAGTAGTGAAGCAGTTTCCAAATTACTTCTCGGTCGACGCTGTCAAAGGCCTTCTCAAAGTCGATAAAGTTGAGGTGTGGAGTTGACTGCCATTCTATACTCTGTTCTATGATGATGCGAAACGTTGCAATTTGGTCAGCACATGATTTGTACTTCCTGAATCCAGTCAGCCTGTTCCGGTCGTAGTTTTGAATCCAGTGCATCCTTAAGCCTCTCCAGGATGATGCGGCATAATATTTTGCTTGCTTTGGGTGGACAGGAGAGTGATTCCGCGCCAGTTCTTGCAAACACTGAGGTCTCCCTTCTTCGGCAGTTTGACAAGGTAACCCTTCTTCCAATCGACAGGCAGGTACCTTCTCTTCCTTCCACACCTTCTGCAATAGTGGTGTGAGCATGTCTGCTGTTGTCTCTGCATCTGCTCTCAGTGCTTCTGACGGTATCCCATCTGGTCCTGCTGCTTTCCCACATTTCAGTAGCTTTATAGCCTTCAGGACTTCCATTTTTGTTGGAGGATTTATGTTCACTTGTAGTTCGGCGGTTGCAGGTGGTATTTCTGGACGAAGTGCAGATGGTGGTGGTGGTCGATTCAAGAGCCTCTTGAAGTGGTCGGCCCACTGTTTCCTTTGTTTCTCTTCTTTCGTAATTAAATTTCCGCCATCATCTTTTGTTGGTTTCGTCTGCTTTGATCTCTTCCCTGCTAGATAGTAACCTGGTTATTTGATACAATGTTGTCAGGTCTCTGTCTCTCCTACCAGTCGGCAGCCTGTTCTGCTTCACTTGCCAGTGTTTCGTAGAAGTGTCTTTTGTCTTTGCGTGCACTCTTCTTCACTTCTTTGTCCAGTGTTTTATACATTGTACTCAGTTCCTCTTGTCATTGAGCATCCTTGCACTGGTTTATCTTCTGCTTCACCATCCTCCTTTCCCTCCTCTATCAGCTTCCATGTGTCCGTCGAGATCCATTCCTTGTCTTCTTCCTCCTTCCTCCCTAATACGGCTGTGCAGGTTTCTTTCCACATAGCTTTCAAAGACTTCCAGTGTTCTTCCACACAGCTTTCTTCAGGGATGTTCCTCGATATCTCCCATTTTGTCTTGATGGCTGCCTTGAAGATTTCCTTTGTAGTTTCATCCTTCAGTTTCCGAGTGTTGTACTTGAATTGAGGTCTATCACCAGCTTCCTTAAAGGCTTTTAACTTGATTTGGAAGGTTCCTTGCACTAGATAGTGAGTGGTGTGAACCTACATCTGCTCCTCCTCTTGACTGACCTTGTGTCAAGTAGACTGCATCTCCACTTTCTTGAGATTGAGATAAAGTCGATTTGATTTTTAGTGTTTCCATCTGGTGAAATCCATGTCGCTTTGTGGATATCCTTGTGCTTGAACATACTGCCTTCAATCACCAAATCGTTGAATGCACAGAATTCTGCAAATAATTCTCCATTCTCGTTCATCACCTCACCGAGCGCTTCTCGACCCATGGTTAGTTCTCTTCCTGTGTTGCCCCCTCCCAGTTTGGCATTCATGTCGCCCATTAGAATTTTGACATCGCCAACTGACGTCTTGTCCAGTGTTGATTGAAGTTGTCTGTAGAATTCCCCCTTTTTCTCTTGCTCAGCATTATTTGTAGGTGCGTGGTGTAGCATTGTATGATTGTGACCTTCCTTCCTTTTGAGTTGAATCTTGCTGTCATGATCCCGATGTTGGAGGATAAGATTGGTTCCCACTGCATGAGAGCCTTCGATGCTGTTGGGGACATCATGATAGCCACTCCATAACTCAGTGTGCTCGTGGTTGTCGTCTGGGTGACAATATCGGAGTAGATTATTGATTCTCCAGTTGACAGTTTGGAGAGTCCACTCCCATTCCATCTGCTTTCGCAAATCCCAAGCACTTCGATGTGATACCTTCTCATCTCGTTTGCAATCTGGGCTGCCTTGCTGAATTCAAACATGGTGTGGACATTCCATGTCTTCACGTTTACTTTCGCTTCCATCGAGTGAGGTGTAGATACATCGGCCAATTGGCTTCCCGAAGGCTTTCACCAACTGGCGTCATTTCGCCTCTCCGATTCCAGCGGGGAATAAGTTTGTTTTTATTTTTTATATATCGTTTCTGCTTTGAAGTTTCTTTAGCGGTTAGATTTGTTTTAAAAGGTAGGGTTGCTAGCCTTATGCCCAACCTTCCCTCTTTACCCGGGCTTAGGAGCGGCTAGTAACTAGTGAATTAGTTAACCAGGCGAGGTTTCGCAGGCTTACTGATCTTCAAAACATATATTTCATCCTTAGTACCTTACGCACTCCGCAACTTTGCGACCTACTCAAACTGGGGTAGGTGAGGCGTGGTTCGAAACCGTGGTCAATTAGTTGTAAGTCATCTCCCTAAACCAGTGAGCCACAGCTCAGTTGTTGAGGTTATGAACCTTCATCGAATAAGGTGGCTGGAACATGCGTTACACATGCCTAGTGAACGTCTGCCTCGTTGCAAATTGTTAGTTGCAGTTGGTTCAGGCTGGTAAAGGGCTCGGGACGGCGAGACTAAACTATGGTACCAATCCATGAAGTCTTTAGTTGTTGATCTGAGCCATATCGAGCCATCAGTCGGAAGTTTACATTCACACACTCAAGAACAGTTACCA